TCCATTTAAAATAAGTGCTTTTCTGTCATTGGGGCAGCACCCAGTCACTGAGCTTCTTACTGTTCTTTTGAAGAATGAGAAGAGTACAGCTAATGAAAGCAGTGCCACAGTACACAACATTTATGTCTCCCAGCAACAAGTGCAAGTTTCCAACTGGAAATTGATGCCAAGACTGAAAATATTCTCCTGAGTGATTTTTTTTTAAAGCTGGTGTATTAAACCATTGTATGTTCATTACCCACTGGGACATTTCATTGCAGGAGCATTCTTATAAATGATCAAATTTCTACTGTTCTTGGTCACATTAAATTGTCCTCAAGTATTCCTTGTGGTGAAATGCTTTAAATTGGTGATGGTTGTTACAGAGATGTATCGTAAGAGTTATCCTGGGCTGTCATTCAGTCTCAGGAAGTGATTGCTGCTGGCAACTTATTGTCCCATCTCCAATTGCCCCAGGAAGGTGGTGATGGCCTTATTGTACCACCACTGAGTTGTTTGCTAGAGGCCAGTTGGGTTAGTGTGGGACTGTTTCCTATACAGCAAAACAGACAAGAATGGCAAGTTTCCTTCCCCATAGATCAATACAAAAATTGAGAGTTTCATTACCACATTTATTGATAACAGCATTTAATTTCCAGATTATTTAAAACAGAATTCAAATTTCCACACAGCCCAGTGGCATGTTCTTGGGATTAATTATCTTGGGCTTCTGGATTGTTGTTCCTGTAACAAAGTCTGACACTGAACAATGAGATGACCTTATAAATCAGTTTCTCTTGGTATTTGTTGAGGGAGACATGTGGACCAGGACTCTTCTTTAAGAGCTTTGGAACATCTAATAGTCATGTGAACCATCTGAATAGGCTATCCCAAAAAGGGACTTCCATTTCTGTACAGAAGGAACAGAAGCATTACTATCCATGAAAACTGAAGGAGAGGCACTTTCTATAGTGGCTTAGTTTAGTGATTCATTGAAATATTTAAAACATTGCTGGGGTCCGTGCAAAGTTGTTTTGATTATTTGTTGGGGATGGTTGCTGATACTGTGGGGAGGCACTGGAGAGCAATTTTCCAAGGTATATTTTTCCGTTTTTTGAGCCTGGACTTTTCCTCTAGTTTTTTTGTTTATTCTTCCTCAGGAGATTTCATGGCTGTGGAGGATTGGTAGGAGGTGTGGGTGGGTAAACAGTATCTAGTCATGAAACTCCTGCTATCATGTGTGGGAACAATTTGCTGGACCATCTAGTTGCTAAACTATCAGGATTTGCACTGAGAAATTTTGCTAGAAATACTGTACGAAACTGTAGTCTGACACTTTCTTTTCCACTTGAAATATTGTCTCAATTCATTTTTATGAGTGTTGCCTTCAACGCTATTGTTCTGTCATGGGAATAGCTTTCACACAACATGGGTCAGTGAAAACAAGTGATGTGCTTGCATGATTTGTTGAATTTCATGTGTAACTATGGTATCTATTTAGTGTATCTTTGGATTAGCACTAAATCCATGACGGCAGAGCTCCTATTTCACTCAAATCAGCAATATCCCACAACTTGCATGAAAGAATCTGATTTTGAGCATCAGATACTTCCTTCTCTGAGCTCATAGTGCTTTTCTTGCTTCCAGCAGCTTTCGTGCATGATAACATGTGACTCTATTTCATGGGTGAGAAAGAAAACGCATTGGGTTTTCATAAGCTCTCAGGCATTCGTGTGGCATTCCGCTTTCTTTACTGCATTACTTAATGTTAACCAAACTCCCAGGAATTAAAAGACCATAAGATGTCTGAGTAGAAGCAGACCATTCAGCCCATCAAGTCTGCTCTGCCATTCAATGAGATCATCACTGACCTGATAATCCTCAACTCTGCTTTCCTGCTTTTCCTCCCGTAACCCTTGCTGATCAAAAATTCTTATGTCTCTGCCTTGGATGAACTTCACGACCCAGCCTTTTCAATGCACTGTGTTAAAGGATTCCACAGACTGCCTACCCTCTGAAAGAAGAAATTCCTCCTCATCTCTGTCTTAAGTGGCCGACCGACTCCATACTTTAAAGTTGTACTATCTGGCCGTGGACTCTCCCATAAGGGGAAACTATCTCTCTGCATATAGCTTGTCAAGTCCCCTAAGAATCTTGTATGTTGCAGTAAGGCTGCCTCTCATTCTTTTAACTCCATTGAGTACAGGCCCAATCAATTCAACTTTACTCAACTAAGACAGTCCCTTCATCCCAGGATCAACCCTGTCTGAGCTGTCTCCAGTGAGGCCTTGGTTCAGATCCCACTTGCTCCAGAGATGTGTAACAACATCTCTGAACAGGTTGATTAGAAAATAACTATATCTCTCCTAAGAAAAGAGACTGACAACTGTTCAGTGTGCCAACTGTAGTCTAACATAGTTTTAGCTCCTCAGTTTTATGACCCCCTTATTTATATTTTATTTTTATGCAGAATATTAACAACAAACTGAGCTGGTGTTTATTAACCCATGAACATGCTTCAGCCCTGGATGGGACTAACACCAACTCCTGTAGTTCCGTGTAAACCTGCTGATGATTCAGTAGGAGGGTTTTCCAAGTGAATCCCTTCTCACACTCAGTGCAGGTTAATGGCCTCTGACCAGTGAGAATTCACTGTATTACTGTGAAATGGGATGATTGCTTGAACCCATTCCCACAGTGAGGGCATCTGAAAGGTCTCTCTTGAGTGTGAACACGTTGATGGATCATCAGATGGCTAGAACTCTTACTTATACTCCATTCTCTTTGAAATAAAGGCCATCACTTCATTTGCCTTCCTTCTTACTTGTTGAACTTGTATGTTAACTTTCTGTGATAGATGCAGGACTCCCAAATCCCTATTCTGTAGCTTCCTACTGTTTGTTGCCATTTAAATAATATTCAAAAGGCTGATTTTCAGTGCATGGCTGTACATTACCCTTGAGAACAATCACAGTGGCTTAAAATAAAAGTGTTTTTAAAAGCATTTTCTACATGTTGTAGGGGCGGGATGGTGGTCTTTTAAAAAGACAGTCTAACGTCAATCATTGGATAACAAAGAGGCTTTGTGGTCACCAGTTGGTGTGCAAAGACAGTGGGCCATGAAATTAACCAGAATGCAAATCCATGAGCAAGAGAGTGGAAGGCAGATACATGGGAGACAGGCACATTAGGAATATGCATAACCAGAGTTGGCAAGCTCTACTTGGGAAACATTGCGAGTTCTTGACTTGTTGGTACCTCACTGTGGACTTTCCCCTGTCCCCTTAAGGCCCAGTAAATGCACCCTTTGTTCATTATCATGCATGAGTCACTTATTGCACCTCCACTAAAGTGGCTTCAGTCTATCCTTAATGATCCAAAAAATAGAATTCACTGCCTTTCCCTTGGCAGATAACATTGAACGTAAGATAACAAGGTGTAAAGCTGGATGAACACAGCAGGCCAAGCAGCATCATAGGAGCAGGAAG